AAAAAAAAGAGAGAGAGAGAGAGAAAGAGCCTCAACCCAAGCACCAAGGCACCGTGCATTTTTCGAAATACAAAAGTTATGAAATATCGTTCGCCGTAAAACTTTTAATGCGCCTCCCGTTCTCCCGGATATACCAACATATACGTTACTTACGTCTATACACCTCCAACAATATATATATATATATATATATACATATACCTTCAATATACATTTATATACCTATATATATAAAATATATTATATATATATATATATATATATATATATATATATATATAAATGTATATTGAAGCTATATACCTTCAATTTTTATATATATATATATATATATACGTCCACGAGTATATTTACTACCTATGCAGCATCTATCTTTACCTTTGCGGGGGTAAGAGCAACTTTTTTATTAAAAAAGTTTTTTCGAAATAAAAATTACCTCGACGTGTGCACGTGGTTGAGAGCTAGATGAAAAATAGAAAAAAAAAAAAATAAAAAAGAGGACAGAGGGAAAATGAGAATCACAGAACGAAAAAAAAAAAGGAGAGTGAGAATAAGAGAGAAGGAAAGAATCAGAAAAATAGACAGAGAGAGAGAGACTTAACCACATTGGTGGTTTTTTTATTTTTTTTTTTCCTTTTTATCATGTCTATATCGAAAAACTGAAACGTGGTTGGGTGCGTGAGTCCCACACATATACACTTAAACGAAGCGAACATGAAATTGGAGAAACTGCAAAAGCGACGGTGGTGGCGGCGGCGTCGTATAGTCGACGTCGGCGTCGACGATGAAGAGAGAGATAGAAAAAAATTCTCCCAACCTTTTTATATATATATATATATACAGAAAAGAGGGAGGCTGAAGCGTTTCTCTCGCCGGAGAAAGAGAAGAAAAACTCTAGAAGCGAGAGGACGCTACTTTATACTTGTATATATATATATATATATATATTATATTTTCGTATATGTGGGTGTAGAGATACATATACATTGCTGGGGGATCTTTATCAAAGTCAACGCACGCCGGTCGCCATGGCAACGAAATTGGATTTTTTTTCGAAGTTTTTTCGGCCCTTCTCTCGACGGCGCCCGCTTCACTCTCGAAAGGGGGATGGGGGTGGGTCGGGACATCGGTGTGTTGAGAGAGAGAGGGGGGGGGCAGAAGCTGCGAAGCAAGGGGTCATGGGGGTAGACGGTTTGAGCGAGAGAGAGAGAGAGAGAGAGAGAGAGAGAGAACGAGGGCGGGATGAGGTTCGTAAAGAGAGGGAGAGAAATCGTAGTGGCCGGGGGGAGAATCTGACGAACGGCGACCGGGGAAGCCAATAATTCGAATTGAGAACAGCCAATGGCCGTGCATCTGATTTTTTGTCGTATCATCGCTCTCTCCGCGAGGTCGCCTCTCGCATCGGCCGCGAGATACGACGACGACGACGACGACGACCGAGGGAGGGGAGGGGGGATTTTTTTTTTTTTTTTTGTAAAATCTCCTCTCTTTCGGGTTGTGTATATCCATCTTTTTTTTTCTCCCCCCCCCCTCCTCTTCGATGTCTACCACCCTCATCTCGTCTTCGACCCCCTCATCCCATAAAACCGGGCACCACCATCTTCTCCCGCGCTTCATCACCCCCCCCCCAACCCCCTTTTCACTTTTTTGCCCCAACACCCGCTCTCTGGGAAAAAAAACCCTCTCTCCCTCCCCCCCTTCTTCTTCATCGTGGTTGCATTTTTCCTTTCTTCCCCGCTATACTATTCTTCCTTGCAGCGACCTTCGCGTCAGGTACGCGTTCGTTATAGTTACGGTTTTTTGTATTATAAAATCTGCGCGTCCGAAAATGCCTCATACGGATTTTTTTTTTTGCCTTCTACAAAGCGTTGTTAAATTTCATTTTTTTTTTATTCATCAAAAAAAAGTTCGTAAAAAAAAAAATATCTTTACAACAATGAATTTCGATTAAAAACTGGGGTTTTTTTTTGGCACCGGAAGGGAAAAAAAAAATTTCGAAAACCTCGCTTATACAATGGATTTTTTGATTAAACATGACTCTAACGAAATTTTTCTTTTTTTTCCTACTTTCCTTTCTCCGATATCTCTCAGAATTGTTAGGTAACAAAATCTGGGGGAAAAAAAAACCCATTTTTTGTGTGTGAGGAAAGAAAGATCTTTTTTTTTTTTTACCTACGGAAAAAAATGCCTACGTGTGTTTTTGTAAAAAATGATTTCATTTTTTTGTCTGTAATATCAATTCGAAAAAAAATAAATTATAAAATTGGAAAAAAAATTCTGGTACTAAAAAAACGATTATAATGCAAAATAAAATATAAAAAATGTTTTTTTTTTTATTTTTACTCGAAATTTACGAATTCGTAAAAAAAAAACTTTTTTTAGCAATTGTGCACGCATATATATATTATAATCTTGTTGATGAACGAAACCTCTTAGCTCGTCGCAAACCAGAAAAATCTTTTCCTCAAAAACCTATTGTGAAATCTAATCTATCTCTCATTTCAATATCCTTTGTTGGCACATAATCCCTGCTCTCTTTCATGTTTTTTTTTTTTTTTTTTTTTTTTTCTTGAATGTAGAGCGTAACGTTTTACGTGAGCCACGTGTACATCTCGCTCCTACGGTTACAGGTATATTATATGTATATATATATGTATAAATCTGTTGAAAGTTGTTTATAAACCAACAATTTATTTCTTTGTTTGCTCGCACAACAAAAATAGCAACACCGCAAAGGTATGTCAAGAGTTATAATAAAAAATTCTCCCAACAATATGTGTTTTCATATATTTCTATTATCAAAAGACACACACATATAAAAAGAAAGAAACAATATAAATATGGAACTAATAAAAAAAACTCAATAGGGAAAAAAAACCGAAATCATTCATTCGTACTCTCTAAATCTGAATTAGTAAAAATGTTTACTAATTACTAAATTAGTGACTCACTTTTTACTTCTGAATTAGTAAAATTTTACTAATTATTAGTAAAATTTTACTAATTATTAGTAACTTTTTACTAACAATTAATAAAACTTAATCTGAATTAGTAAAAATGTTTACTAATTTAAATTAGTGACTCACTTTTTACTTCTGAATTAGTAAAATTTTACTAATTATTAGTAACTTTTTACTAACAATTAATAAAACTTAATCTGAATTAGTAAAAATGTTTACTAATTTAAATTAGTGACTCACTTTTTGCTTCTGAATTAGTAAAATTTTACTAATTATTAGTAACTTTTACTAACAATTAGTAAAACTTAACTAATTCTAAAGCAAAAAGTACGAGTCACTAATTTAAATTAGTAATCATTTTTACTAATTCAGATTTAGAGAGTAATTAAAAATTCGAAATAAAAAATTCATAACTAAATTGACAAAAATTTACTGAAAACAAAAATTAAAAAATTATTTTTTAAATTTTCATTTTCATATTTATGATTAAAAACTAAATTGAAAAAAAAAAATTTCAAAATCATTTTACTAAAAAAATTTTAAAAAATTAAATTTTATTAAATCAAATATTTTTAGAGTAAATGAAAAATTATAATCATCGGTTTAAGTTTCTTTGAATAGTACCTAATAATTGCAATTTTTCCTTCCCCACCTTAAAAATGTTTTTTTTCTCCAAACTTATAAAATATATATATATATATAGCGACGCCTATACAAAATCATATGCGCAGAATCTAGCTTTTCGATGTAGATGAGCGAATCGATATTCAAGTTTCATTAAAATGCAATGTCTCATTTTCATTAAATTGCATGAGTGTCCGAGCACGAAACTTTCACGTTAAACCAATTCGAAATTCAATTTCAACTCGATACGTTATACTCTTTGATCTAAATATTTTCAACTTTTGAGCTATACACTGAAAAGGTAATTCCTGACTTTTCATTTTCAATAAATAAATTATTCTCCGATCGACAAATATGGAATTTTAAAATTTTTTGATTCTCATTTTTGCGCAAGCAGGAAATAAATCATGTCGCACAATAAATAAATATATATATTATTTGCTGCGAAAAATTATTAATAGAAAAAAAAATTATTTAATTCAAATAATCGTTAATGAAAATATTTATTTGTATTAAATAATTACTAACATTATAGAATTAATAATACTGATTAAAAGATGTATTAATTAAATAATTAATTAATTTTATCATATATAATATTAATTGTAGAATATATAAAGTTACAGGAGAATATTTATTAGATATTATTAAGTATAGAAAATGATATATATATATATATATATATATATTAATAATAAAATAATATATATACTATTAATTCAAGCATCACTTAAAAATATAATATTGAGTACTGTCAAACAAATATATTTTAATATTTGCAAATTTTTGCCGAGATAGCACTGGAATGATGTAAATCAAAGCCAGAATTGCACAAAATTTAAACTATGAAAGAGAAAGAGAGAGAGAGAGAGAGAGGAGCCAATTGCTTTTGCACTTCGCCGCGCGACCTACCACTTCACCTACTTATTTGCTCAAACGCCCTCTTTTTATATATTCCCACGACTTTAATGAATTTTTACCCGCGCACTTGTTTTAAAAGTACACATCTATATATAAAATATTTTTTTTTTTTTTAATTTTCCTTCTTGTCAACGAATAAATAAATAATTATAAGTACAAGAAATGGCGAAAATATATTTCGTCATTTATACACTTATAAATAATAATATAATTATAACAATAGCAATAAAAATAATAAATATGTATAATAATAATGATAATAATAATAATAATAATAATAATAATAATAATAATAATAATTATAATAATAATAATAATAAATATGTATAATAATAATAATAATATACTTGGAAATATTTGAAATAATATAATAAATATATGAAATAATTATATAAATATTGGAACACAGGTGTGAAAGGGACCGCGAAAACTTGAAATGCCACTGTATACATATTCGACACTGCAAATAAAAGTTGACATAAACGATACTTACAGCTGCATTACACGGAAGGATATGCAAACACGAGGGCGCAATTCTTGAAGACACTTGAGAGCGAACGAGAGCGAAGAGCGCTAAACGGAAGCAGACTGACGGCTCTTTTCCCAGTTTGTGACAAATTTTGGAGATAAAAAAAAAAAGAGGTATTTTCGCAACTCGCACACATATTTTATTCTAAATTTAAGAATATTACTTGGCTTCTATTTCTGAATATTCCATTTACATATATAATTTATTATTATTATTTAATAATAAATATTATTATTGTTATTATTATTATTATTATTATTATTATTATCATTATTATTATCATTATTATAAGAAAAATAATAATAATTAATAAGATTAATTTTTACATATTATACTATTTTATATAATTTTAAAACAAAGAAAATTATTTCTTTAAATCAACAAAATCTTTTTTATATGCAGCTGATTTATTCTTTTTCCACGTGTATTGTAAATCAAAATGATTTCTACTTAGAGAGAAAGAGAGAGAGAGAGAAAATTTGATTCAATAGAATACTTTTCTGATATACAATCAATGTATTTATAATCATGCCCTATTGAGGATATTCACTCCTCTAATAAATGATTATAAAATCATATACACGATATCGGATAAAATATTTTATTTTCAATATACAAACAAACAAAAAAATCTATATTATAAAAAAAAAATTCGCTGCTGTCTCCATATGGATCATTTCACGTCAATAGTAATCAAACTAAAACCTATATTTTTGACGTAAAATCATGTGAATGATGTATAAATAGAAAATTGGTTATATTCACGTTATTTTAGGAGGTGATAAATCTTTTAAAGTCATCTACTTTTACGGCGTTAAATTAGACATTTGGCTAAAGTCACGGCGTTGAAATAAATATTTGACTAAAGTCACGTCATTTTACGACGTGAAAATAGTTATTTGGACAAAGTCACGGCGTTGAAATAAATATTTGACTAAAGTCACGTCATTTTACGACGTGAAAATAGTTATTTGGACAAAGTCACGGCGTTGAAATAAATATTGGGCAAAAGCCACGTCTATTCGCGGCGTGAAAATAGATAATCAACTAAAGTTACATACGTTAATTTACGGGCGCGAAAATAGTTATTTGGCTAAAGTCACGGCGTCGAAATAAATATTTGGCTAAAACCACGTCTATTCGCGGCGTGAAAATAGACAATCGACTAAAGTTACGTTATTTTAGGGACGCGAAAATAGACAATCGGCAAAAGACACGCCCTGAAAAAAGACATTTGGCTAAAGTCACGTTATTTTACGGCGTGAAAATAGACAATTGGCTACAGGTGCGTAATGGAAGTACACGTTTGGCTAAATTCACGTCTTTTTACGCCGTGAAAATAGTTATTTGGCTAAAGTCACGGCGTTGAAATAATTATTTGGTTAAAGTAACGTCAATATACAGCGTGGGAGTATACATTTGGCTAAAGCCACGTCTATTCACGACGTGAAAAATAGACAATCGACTAAACTCACGGCATTTTACTGCGTAAAAATAGTTATTTGGCTAAAGTCACGGCGTTGAAATAAATATTTGGCTAAAGCCACGTCTATTCACGACGTGAATATAGATAATCGACTAAAGTTACGTTATTTTACGGGCGCAAAAATAGACAATCGGCAAAAGTCACGTTGTGAAAAAAGACATTTGGCTAAAGTCACGTCATTTTTCGGCGTGAAAATAGACAATCGGCTACAATTGCGTCATGAAAGTACACGTGTGGCTAAATTCACGTCTTTTTACGCCGTGAATATAGTTATTTGGCTAAAGTCACGGCGTTGAAATGAAGATTTGGTTAAAATTACGTCATTATACGGCGTGGGAGAATACATTTGGCTAAAGCCAGTCTACTAACGACGTAAAAAATAGACAATCGACTAAAGTCACGTACTTTTTACGTCGTGAAATTAGTTATTTGGCTAAAGCCACGTTATTTTACGGCGTGAAAATAGACAGTCGGCTACAGTTGTGTTATTTTACGGGCGCGAAAATTGACAATCGGCAAAAGTCACGGCGTGAAAAAAGACATTTGGCTAAAGTCACGTCATTTTACGGCGTGAAAATAGACAATCGGTTACAGTTGCGTCATGAAAGTTAACGTTTGGCTGAAGTCACATAATTTTACGGCGTGAAAATAGTTATTTGGCTAAAGTCACGGCGTTGAAATAAAGATTTGGTTAAAATTACGTCATTATTCGGCGTGGGAGTATACATTTGGCTAAAGCCACGTCTATTCACGACGTGAAAATAGACAATCGACTAAAGTCACGTCAGTTTACGGCGTAAAAATAGTTTCGAAACATAAAAAAAAGGTTTAACTTGGTAAAATTAGGTAAAATTTTAATAATTTTAATACTTGAAAATTTTTTTAAAAATTAAGCATTAGTAGAAAAAAAACAAGGGTTTGGCGCACAATATTACCAACATTTATTTTTTTCCATAAAATGCAATTTAATAATTTTTTATTGTAATCATTTTTGCAAAAATTTAGCTTTTCTTTTTTATATAATATTAAAAAAAAAACAAGTTTTTCACATATACATACTTTCATTATTCTACATTGTGCCATATTAACTGAGAAAGTTTTTCCTACAACTTTTGTTAATGGCAAAACGTATATATATATACAAATACATATATATATATATACGTACATATACGTATTCCAGGGCTGTTTTTTATTTGAGCGTGACGTATTTCCCTCTTTTCTCTTGTGTATACCTGACATTAGTTATAGTGACGTGTACAGATATGCATAAAGCTTTTGCAGTGGATTATAATACACAGACAAAAAAAAAAAATTGTCTGTACGAAAGAAAACAAATGTGTAAGTTGGAATTAAGAAGGTTATAGTTGCACTCTCTTCTGGTGCATTCAAGGTGTATAAAAGAAGGGGGAAAAGAGAGAGAGAGGAGAGAGAGAGAGAAATAAAGGGGTAAAAGAGACATAGAAAGAGAAAAAGAGCGATGAACAGTCTCTGCGTCATACTGTATACCATCAGAGAAAACAAGAGGACGAAGAATCGCGAGAGAGCGAGAGGGGATTCCTTCTCTTCTATCGAGTGTATATACATATATATATAGTATATATATATATGTGTGTGCTTCCCAAGGAACTTCGGTCCTTGACCAGAGAAACGCGAGGAATTCGCCCCTCGAGTTCTCGGCGTTCTTTAACGAATACGAACTCGCGAAGAGAGCGCTAGCCTCAGACTCCACTGGAATAAGCTCACGTGATATCGCACCAAGGCTATCAGAACCTTGATCGTGGCACATCAACTTGATGAGGACAATGCATGTAATTCTCCTTTCCGACTTTTCGATTCATCCTCACAATTTATTTATTTTTTTTTCCTTCTTTCAAAAAAAAAATAAAATGTCTATTTCATCAAAATTATTATAATTCTTTTAAAACAAATTATATTTAATTGAAATTAAATTATAATTTTATAAATTAATCAAAATTTAATAAAATTATAAAATAAAATAGATTATATAATTTTTTTTTATAAAATAAATTATAAATTTTAAAACATATAATTTACACGGAAAAGAATAAATTAGCTACAGATTCTAACGAATGTTTGTTGAAAAAATTTTCCGCAGCAACTAAAATGTTTGCTACAGCTGATAAAAATTTATCAGTGATTATTAATTAGTGTAAAACTAATAAATATTATTGTTATTAATTTCAGTAATAATTAATAGTAGTTAATAATTTTACTAATAATTAGTAAAAATTAATAATTACAGTAGTAATTAGTAATAGTTATATTAATTGTGGAAGAAATTAGTAATAGTTACTAATTACAATAATAATTAGTAACAGCTACTAATTACATTAATAATTAGTAATAATTAATTATTTCTCTAATATATAATTAGTAAAAAAAAATTAGTAATAGTAATAATAAATATAATAATAATAATAATGATGATAATAATAATCACAATAATTCTGAGTTCATAATCTCTATATATAGAGAAAAAAAAATGAGATTATTTTAACTATGATATTTTTATAATATAATGACAAGGGGGACAATTAAATAGATTATAAAATATAACCTTGGATTATAAATATATATATATAGAAGAATATATATATTATATATATATATTCTGAGAAAGTGAATCAATATAAATCAAATGCTGTATACCACAAATAAGTTTAAAACCATATTTTCTTAATTTAATTTACCCGTTTAAATATACGATCGATATATCCTTGATGTTTAAGGTTTTTTTTTTTTGTTTCAAATATAAAATATTCAAGAATGTTATACATAAAATATTAATTTTTCTTTTTATAATATTCAAAACGTCAAAAAAAGATTTAAAAAAAAAGAAAAATAGAAACTCATAGTAGTTTGAAAATAACTCAAAACTATTTGCCAATAAAACTATGAAATATATGCACCATCTGTTTAATCTTAAAAACCAGTAATCATATATGTCTATATAGAAACAAGAAAAAAATTACACCTTTCCATTGTCTTGTCAATTTTAAAAGTCTTTTAAACGTCATTAAATTTGTAAAAGGCAGATCTGTGACTTTTATTTATCTTTGTCTTTATTATTATTATTATTATTATTATTATTATTATTATTATTATTATTATTATTATTAATTTAATTTCTTTAATTTTATTATTAATAATTTTTTTTAATTAATTTTCTTTAATAATTTTATTATTATTAAAAAGAAATAAATTATAAAATAATAATAATTGTTATTTAGTATAAATTGCCAGGGAATGGGAAAAAAAGATTTTAAAACTATGACTGCGATTATTATACTTGAACTGTCGACGTTATTTACCCTAAAGGACTATTTAGATATGATGTATAGTGGAAGTTCAGATATGATTACTTGAAAGGCAACAATATCCATTTTCTACATTTATGAACTCTTTACACTGTCGTTTTAGCACTAAACTATATATTGATTTAACATGTATAGAGCATTTTTTTTTTTTTTTTTTTTTTTGCTTAAGTAAAAGAAAAAAAAAAAAAATAAAATAAACTATAAAAAAAATACTTTAAACTAAAAGCACTTCTTTACAAAAATTAAGATATTTTACGAAGCTGAAGTACGCAACGTTTATGATAAACAATTTTTAAAGAAATAATTTTTTAAAAAGGGAAAAATTCTATA